ATGCACCTCTCCAATGTCTAAGAGAAAAAAATGTAATGAACATTTTTTAAATGTATGACCTGCATCACTGTACAGAAGACTGCCATATTTACACTGTGCGCATGGCATACGATTATGCCAGTTTTCCTAATCCCTGACCGATAATTTTTAATCTAGTGTTATCTGGGTGTTGGGTGAAATGGGTGGTGGGTGTGTTACTGTACTTATATATTTTTTGCCTTGTGATTGTTTTTTAACCTGCTAAACCAAAAAAAAAAAATGTCTGATTCGCGCCAATTCCCGGACAAAAATCACGCCAGCTGGCGGAAAATCACGCGGCTTTTCCAAATCACGCGAGAATGTGTACAAAACAACAAAAAAATGGCGCCAGCAACGCTACTGGGTCGTTTTCATCAAATGTCTGTGATTTTAAAGTAAGTTTGAGTGATAATTGTTTTTGCGATAATAGCACTTGCCCGGCAGGCAAATTCTGCCTGCCTTGGCAAAAACTGAAGGCAGTGAACGGGAGCTGCCAGCCTCTGAACCAACCAGGCTACCCGTCTCGTCACAGTCATTTAAATCTAATGGAGAAGGCATCCGTTTAATAAAAAGGCATTACTGTACAATTTCGGGAAATAAACTCATCTCCCCCTGATTTTAATAAACAAGCGTCATCTTTATCTCTCTCACCGAACTGCAGAGGAACTTCGTAGCATGTTTAATAACCTTGAAGAGAGGTAGGAAACTGGTTTATTTCCAGAAATGGCATTTGATTTACTAGGAACCACATTAAGCACAGCCAGTGATATAAAACTAGCTGCTTACCACCAGAGTTGCCTTCCATGCTGGTCGTAACTTTAGCTTCTGTCTGGAAACATCAAAAACAGCATTCGTTAAAATGTATGCCATGTTTTGTGCGCATGTGTTTCTGCATGTTGGATGTAGGCCTGTCGCGATAATCAATAAATCAATCGCACGATAAATAAAAATTATCCACGTCATTTAATTTATCGGCTATATCGTCTCTGCCTGTGTTTTCCTCTTTCTATTGATGACGCTGGATGACGAGGCTTAACTCCGGTGCTATCCACTGACCCCTCCCCTTCCTCATTTTTTTAGGAAGGGAATAAATGAGGAGGGAGGAGGAGTGGACTAGGTAGTCAGCACGCATTATTTTGTACTTCTGCAGCTTTAGATCCCCGTGAGGAGATAGCGAGATAAAAAAAAAAAACACATCCCATGTTGGTGGAAAAAGCTCAAAATGCAACTGGTTTCAAAGCCGAACGCAACAGCCGAAGTGTGGGAGTATTTCAGATTTAAACCCAATGACCGAGGTGAACCTATGCGAGCCAGTATGTCGCATTTGTCATGAAACGGTAGCAACTAAGAGCAGCAATACAACCAACCTACACACACAGCTAAAGCACAACCCCCCAGCAAAGTTTCTCCAGCTGGGCACAAAAAGTACAAGCGGTGGCCCGTCAAGACAGTCCACCATCACTGAAGCAATTAATCGACAGGCAGCATACAAAAAGGACGGTGCAAAGTGGCGCGCGCTCACAGACAGCGTAGTTCATTTAATTGCTAAAGAGATGCTCCCATCTAATATTGTTAATAGCCTATCTTTTTTAAAATCTAATGATATACAGACTTCATTATCTGTACTCCTTTGGTTGAATGTAGTTTTTATTTCCACTGTGGTTTTATCTTGTATTTAGTTTTTATTCAAGTGTATTTTTAGATAGACTGAGAGTCCATTTGATTTTTATTTCTTGTTTTATTTTGTTAACCACTTCCAGTGTTGAAAATAAAGTGTGTCTATCTTTGGCATGCATTATTACATAATTTCCATTAAATCAGTGTAAAAAAGGTCTTCAAACAATATTATCGTTTATCGCAATAATTTTTGAGACAATCGTTCAGCAAAATTTGTTATCGTGACGGGCCTAGTTGGATGTATTTCCTCCCGAGGATGTAATAGCCACTTTGCAATGATTGCAAAGCACCTTTTTGCCATCTTTCTCTACTTTAATATGAAGCCCAACTTTCAATCGCTTTTTTTGTTTTACTTTTCTAGACTTACGCCTGGTCACTTCGTACTTGCTTACTGTATGCCATGTGCAAAACTTGCATAAAAAACATGATGTAAGTTGTGCTGCCCTGCGCTAGGCTCTGGTGCTGCCTGGAATTGTTAAGAAAATCGTTAATCGAGCTGCCAAACGGTGCCATGGTATTGGAACACGCAAAACCGTTTTTTGATTCCCATCCCTAGTTAGGATGTTGATAAGAAAAAGTTGCTCCTGCTTTCAAAACTATACACTTGACATTTAATGCTGCTCATATGGAAAAGCCAGTACCTTCTAGGAGGAGGAATTGGTAGTCAAACATGACTTAAGGTTAAGATTTATGATTAAATCAATGAGAAGGATGTCTACAGGACAAGTCAATTGGAGGTTTTTAACTTAAAACGATGTTGGCAGCATCTTACGGTGGGATTGTTTCCAACACAGTGGTGCATAATCCTGTAAAAGTGTTTAATTATAAATGGCAGTATCACTGTGCGACCATTTTAGTTATAGTGGTTGCATTAAGTCCAGGTCACACTGGTTGCGTACGACTTTTCAATGGTGGGCAGATCTGGTCTCTGTGCTACAAAAAGTGAAACAATCTTCCACATTTGACTTGGGCACAATATAAAATGTACTGAATATTATAGAAGGAAAAAAAAAAGGATCCAGCTCAGCTACAAAGTAAAGCCCCACTGCATGTGTCTGTGCAGCATCTCCTAAACCAGAACGGATAGAGAATTTTTATAGGCTATATTAAAAACATAATAGGAACTATGTTTATAGAAAAAGAAAACACAACTGTAAAGGCTATGGGGTGTTTTATTTGCTGGCTGAGGCAGTGAGAGTTGATTCTCAGAGAGAGGTCTGAATTTTTTCTTTTTCTTCTAAAGAGGGGAAAGGGATAAGCTGTGCTTATCTACTCTGTCTGCCCCTCTTTGTTTTCGTTTTTTGCAAGGCTTAAAGAGGATCACTATTTTACTATATCTGTTTTCCGTACTGAAGTTTGACAAAGTTTAGTTGTTTATTTTTCTTCTTTTTTTTAAAGTTTCATTGATCGTTTATGCACAAGCCTGCCCTGCTTCATGCTTTGTGCTACTCTGTCTTCTTGTGCAATTGACAGATTTTTTTGTGTGTTTTACTTCATAACCACATCTCTCTTCCCATCAGACCACTAAAATCGACCTGTGGTCTATCTCAGTCAGAGCTACGCAGTCCACTTGGAGCAAATCATGTCGGTGTGATCATCCCCAATTACTCTCAATGTGCCCTAAACAGCACAACCTTGTCCGACACGATTTCTGTTGAATTCAATGTAAAATTGGGTTCATTGTGTACAGGGCTCTACGCTTGAGGATTGTTTAAAAATGGCAGCATATTACTGTGGAATTGTTGCACTAAAAATGGCAGCCTCATTCTGTGAGATTTTGTTTAAAATTAGCAGGATCCAGTTCAGGTTGATGCTGTTGGGTATCTTCATTAGAAATGGCAACATGAAACTGCGGGAAACTATTAAAAATCACAGCATCATGGTGTGCCACAGCAATTCACAATGGCAGTATCTTGTTTTAGTTTTTTTTTTTTTTAAAAAGAAAACATCTTGCTGAGGGATTGTTTAACTAAAACTGGCAGTATCATGATGAGGGATTGTTTAAATAAAACTGGCAGCGTAATGCTGAGGGATTGTTTAACTAAAACTGGCAGCATCATGCTGAGGGACTGTTTAACTAAAACTGGCAGCATCATGCTGAGGGACTGTTTAACTAAAACTGGCAGCATCATGCTGAGGGACTGTTTAACTAAAA